AAAAAAAAAAAAAAAAAAAAGAAACCCTCCCTTAAACTGGGCCAAAAATGTCAAAATCCTGAAAATGTTTGCAAACCAAAAATCTTTTCAAATCCAGGGAATGGTTTTGTTCAGATGTTTCGGGAATGTTGTGTTTTGATTTTGATCTTTTTAATTGTTTTACTTTAACTTTAGTTTCATTCTTGTGTTCTTGTAAATTCCTTGCAATGCCTTGTGGCAGCCTTGGGAGATTTCCATCCCTGGGAATGCTGGGAGGGTTTATTCCAATATAAGCCTTTTGTCTACAGAGGCATGAGAAAAAGTAGTATCTCAGATCATTAGTGAATTGAGTCAGAGGTGGGTGCCATCCAAAGTGCATCATGAATCTAGTAGACAAAATGGCAGGCCATGTTAGAAGGAGAAGCTCAAGACAGGATTAGCTTTAACAGAGGTATGCAGGGAACCTGGGACAAGGCTTACCAGTGCTACTAAGGGTATGGATCCTCCTGGCCCAGCAGTTTCTGTCCACTAAGTTCACAAACAAGTATTCAAACACCCTTGTCTCAGTGACCGTACTAGTGATTCCCAACCAGGGTGCCATAAGGAACTTTTGAGGGTGCTGTATAACTGTTAGGTATGCAAACACCGAAACATGATGCACAAGAGAAACCCAAAGATTTCAAATAGAATTCATACCATCAGAAACGTTCTTACCTCTTTCCGTGCTCTTTGCAACAGTGTAATTGCTCTGTTATTTTTTCACACTCAATAAATGAGTGAAAAAGACTAGGGGGCATTTTCCAAACAATGCCTCGAGTCTAACAAGGGGTGCCATGAATTACAAACGTTGGGAATCATTAGGCTATATACTCTGAGGAGAAGTAACAGCAATGTTATAAATAGATGCTTTATGAAGCTCTGAGTTTGGACCCTCACCTTTGGCAGGGACTCAATGTTGTGCAGAGGCAGAATGGTCAACTGCCAAGAGCAGGGGATGGATAGGGGTTGCCTCACTAACCTGCCTCCAGGTGGCCATGGGGCAATGCTGGGAGAAGGCTGAGCTTCAACATGAGGGCCCCTCAAGGAGTTGGGGGGGTATCGTGCTCCAGAATCACATATAGATATGAAGGCATCCAAGACATGCGTAGTCCCCCATCCTACTCATACAGATGGGACCTGGTCTGCATGGGGATAGGGATGCTCACATCAGAAACCTCCCTATGCCAAGATAGCTCAGTATCTGTGGATACTTGACTGCTGTAGACTGTGGGGTCAGGGAAGGGAACCAGTATAGCTACACCAGCCAGTGAGCAAGCTCTCCCTAATCAGCCATTAATTCCTCTAACTCTCCCTCTCTCTGCTTTGAATCCATATAACAGAAGCTTGGATTGAGAAGCCCTCCTTTGGGAAGCCCTTGGAGGAGCATCTGGCAGTCAGTGGGAGGGAAATCGCCTTCCCCATTGAGGCATGTGTGACCATGCTGCTTGAGTGTGGCATGCAGGAGGAGGTGAGTACGGGGACCCGCCTCCCCTCCCAGCTGGACTATTTTATTCCAAAACAAATACTTTAATCCTTTTTTTTTCCCTCCAACTCTCCCAAGACAAACACTAATACATGCCTGAACATAGGTTAAGTCAGAGCAGTCATTATGGTACAAGAATAATAATCATCCCTTTTGGCATTAAGATCTATGAAAAGTACCCCCCTTTATTTCTCTACTCATTCTTCCTAGTGTTTCCAGAATTTCAGGCCAACTAAAACATTCAAAAGTCACGGGTTAGGTTTCCAAGATTTTGAATCAAGCCCCTGCTCTTCTCCCTCTGTTCCTATTTGCAGCCTTTAGTTTAACTATAAGATTAAAGATTGCAGCCTTCTGAATCATTAAATAAACGTCTTTGGAGATCGGGTTGTGATCATAGTATTTTGTAACCTGTGGCACATGTAACCTTGCGAGTAATGTGGCAAAGTTCTAGAAGCAGAAGAAGGAAAAAGGGAAGTATATACAGAGGAAAAGAAGAAAAAGAAAATATGAAAATAGCTCTATAGTATAGAATAGTCACCTAGTCCAGTCCCATGTACAAATGCAGGACACGTTATTCCTAAAACATCCCATGCAAATGCTTATCCTGGCTCTCTTTAGAAACCTCTAATGAAAGAGATTCCCCTGCTTGTTCCATTGTCTTACCATTCCAACATTTTTCCTAAGTTTTAATTTAAATCTGCTTTGTTGTAGTGTAAAGCCATTGCTTCATGTCCTGTCTTTTGTGGCAAGGGAGAAAAGCTCTTCACCCTTTTTATATATTTTAGGTTGTTGGAGAAGTTGCTGTGTGGTTGTAATGACCTGCAGTGCTACTTTTTATTATCCTTTACACAGAGTCATAGGAATATACAACAATTTTACAAACTTAAGAAATACGTGGCCACCAAAAAATTAGAACCACCTCATCTAAGACAGCGTGCATGTGTATGTGTAAATCAGGAACATTTCCACTAAAATCAGTGGGGAGATACTGGTATAAGAGAGAGCAAAGGCAGGTCTCAAGTCTCAGATCTCTTGCTTTTTCCCACTTGGGTAGAGAGCAAGGAAGATAGGAAAGTAAATTCTGCATTTTCAGAACAGCCAAAACCAGGCCAAACTTAGATATGCAACTCTCATGAACTAAGCAGGCCCAATGCATTGTGATGTAAATGCCTCAGAGAGTACACGTGGTTAAGCGGCTTAATTCAAAGTTATTCTCTTGCACAAGTTCATCTCCAGCAGGAGATGATCATATGAGCATTTGATCTACAGCAGGAACAAATTAATTCCACTGTGTTTAAGCCCCTGGCAGACATTGCAATAAGACATACCTAATTTGTTAATCACGCCATAAATAGTAACCCTGCCACACATTCAGGCAATTAGTGATGCAACAAAATAGGAAATCAACCACAAAAATATTCCACAAAATACGTGTAAAATTTTTGTGGTTCATTTCTAGTATGTCTTAAATTGAATGTGTGGCAAGGTAGCCTTGCCACGTGCCCTGATGCAGGGTGCATAGCAGGGCTTGGTTGACAGCTTCTCCATGTTTGCAGGATGACAGTTGTGTGGTGCAGCCCTGCACTCTGCAGTTTTCAAGGTGCCAAGTTGAGGGGAGCTCATTAGCTGGGCTGAGGTGCTGGATTCCTGCAATCCAGCACGGCATTTGCTGCCCTTGCTCCACAGCTCTGGTTGGGGCTGAGAAACAAGGTACATTCTGGCGTCTGATCATGATGAATCACAGGGCTCGCTGAAACCTAGCAGGCTGACTGCCTTGCCCTGGTGCTCCCAGAGAGCTGTGGAGCGAGGGGCTTGACACATCCCCACCATGAGGACCCTGGGATAGGTGAGCACTTTGCTGATCTCAGGGTCCCAGTGTACCAGGGTCTTTAAAAAGCATGTGCAGCCCAGCTGCACACCTGGTGTTTTGACATCCCTGGCACATGGGGATCCCAAGAACAGGGAACCTCTCCCTGATCCCAGTGTGTTGGGACCTTAAAAAGTTGCATGTGCAGTTGGGCAGCAAATTAGGTTTTCTGACATCCCAGTGCACTGGGTCTGGGACTGTGACCACACCAGCATCTCAGATTGGCTCCAGTGAGGTCCCAGGGCTGAGATCAACCATCGCTGATCATCCCAGCCCCAGAACCTCACCAGAGCCAGTTTGAGATGTGGTGAGGTCCTTGCAATTGTCATGCAGTTGCCAGCTAATTGTTAGCCCCAGCTCCGGGACTGCACTGACATCTTAAACAGGCTCCTGTGCAGTCCTTGGACTGGGATTGACAGCTAATTGTTGGTCCCAGCCTTGGGACCACATTGGTTCACACCAGCTGCAGGCCCCAGGTTTCAGCTTGCTGGTGCAGGGAAGCCTGGGATCCTTGTTGGCCCCCTGCTTCCCCTACACTGGCAAGCAGTTAATGGTGTGATTGGGATCTGATCCCAAAATCACAACTCCTGCCATGACCATGTAGTGCGTGACTGGGATGTGTTGGGATTGCAGATCAGATCCTCTGGTGCCATTAAATGAACATGTGCCAGGGGCATAAGATTTTAGCTTTTATTTGCTCAGCATCTTGCAGTCCTGAGCAGCACCTTTCATAGGGCAAGTGAGCATTCAGCTGTTCCACAGGGCTGTTCCTGTAACACAAGTGGCTGATTAGATGACACTTCCCACCTCTCCCTTATGGTTTCAGCATTTAGAGTCTGTTGATCTTCCTTTGGTCAGCTGATTTTCCTAACAGTGCCATATTTTTCCTAGGACAGTTGGTCTCAGTTATTTATCAGCATTTTGGAGGCCCAGATAATTCCTTGTCTATAGAAAGTATATTGCTGTTCAGAACCACATGGGCAAATGTGCCTTTTCCTTTTGTTTGCCTTGAAATAAGAGTGGGAAAGCAGGAAAGATGATTTCAAGACCCAAGGAATTGGAGCATAATCTACTGGATTCATTTGCGCACACAGTGTCCTTTTTACGACATTCCTTTCTCAGAGACAGACATATTAGAAGGTTTCCTGTCCCTCATCATTAGCCAGAAGCAGGGACTGAACGGATGATGGAGAAACCAACCTTCATAGGTTTGGTGAAACAAGTGTAGACTCTCAGAATTATTTACACTTCTTTCATCTGTAGATTTGGGCTGAAAATCTTCTCAGACCACCAGCTCCTAATTGTCTTCTGATTTGTTTTCTTGGGGGAGGGGGCGGGGGAGCTGGGTCGACTGGAGAAAAGGTTAAAAGAAGCAGAAGTTTTGCTTTTCCAGACTCTGCCAGAATTAAGAAAAGCAGCTGAGAAATTGAAAACCTGACTTTAAAAAATATTGAGAGACATCTTGGAATCTCCAGATCAGTTTGGTTTGATTTTGGGTCACAGCTTTGGGCTGCTTCCTCCTCTATGCTGATTTAGATAATTCATCTTTGTAGCTGATCCTGCCAATAGCAAACCTTTGTGCTTTCCCCTACATTGCCCCCCTCCTTGCAAGGAGGTCCCTGCAGACCTTTGCAAAGCCACCTCACGGTCCTTCAAATCCCTTCTTTGCTGTGCTCTCCATTAAAACCTAGGTAACAATTAGTGCTGGTTCCTAGCTTGTTGACCTTGTTTTCTTGTGCTTCCGCCGTGTCCATCTGTTTTCCCTCGTCTCAGACTGAAAGCTCTTTGGGACCATCTTGTGGTTCTGTGTTTGTACAGCATTTAGCACAATCAGTCTATGACTGAAGTTTCTCAGTGCAATTACAGTTCAAATAATAATGAGGGGAAAAAACAGTAGCTTTAGTAAGACCTACTGATTGGTTTATTTTGGATCATGAACTGGGCCATTCATGCTTCAACCTCGGTTCAACCTCTTAGCTAGCCTAGACTACTCACAAAGCAGAGATTAACTGTTCACCTAATTAGATCTATGTTCCCATGATCCTGCTGTGCCCTAATAATTCCTAAATCTGTCCCCTCATTTTCTGAGGCACGCACATTGAAGAATGCAAAAACGTCTAATTCTGGTCATTGCTTGTCAAAGCTAGGAAGAACAGAATTTGGTTTATATCAGCAGATGAATCGAGCATGACTGAAGATACCCCGGACGCACAGACTTCTAGAGAACAAGTGACCTCCTCTCTGCCCTGGCCTAATTTTGCCCTACATCGGGGTGGGCAAATATGGCCCGTGGGCCAGATCTGGCCCATGGAGGGACTTTGTCCTGCCCACAGCAGGTCCCTCAGTTCTGCCTGGCCCTGGCGCTGTCCAATCTGTGGCATGTCCTATCACCCCCTGGGCATGCAGCGGGGCTGGGGCAGCTCCACAGCTGGACTGCCTTTCTAGGCAGCCTAGACAGTGGCAGCTCCTTCTAGCTGTCACCACTGCTGGCACCGGCCCCATGGTACTGGCAGGGACCCACACGCAGAGTTCCAACCCTGGCCTGCCCCACAGCCACTCAAGACTCGGCCCACTGGTGCGGACCAGCTCCGAACCAGCTGGAACCTGTGTGCACAGCGCTGACCCGGGCCTGCCCTGCGCCTGCTCGAGCAGTGGCAGCAGCAACGTCTGGGCAAAAGCTGCTGCTTGGCACAGCAGCAGAGCGGCTCCTCCCCCGCATCACTGCTAAGCCTCTCTTGCTGCAGCCACCCAGAGCCCATGCCCGCACTGCCCTGCGGCTCCTCTTCACTACCACCACTGCCCTGCTGGGTGGCTCAGAGGCGCTGGTGGCAGAGAGGAGCTGCAGGGCAGCCCAGGCACAGGCCGGGGTCTGGGTTGTGTGCGTGGTTTCTGGCTGGTGTGCTTCAGCTGGGGTGAATCTGGAGCGGGCATGGGACAGGCCAGGGTTGGGCCGGGGCCAGGGCTGTTGGCAGTGGCAGGGAGGAGCCACAGGGTGCATGGGCTCCAAGCTGTTGCTAGGGAGGGGTAGAGGGGGGTACTGACCGGCCTGCAGCAGCTCCCCAGAACTGCCTATGTGGCCTGCAGGCCCAAATAATTGCCCACCCCGCCCTACATTGTAAACAGTAGGAACCAAGGTTTGACCCTAGCTGACTTAAAAAGGCATCCCTCCATTGGTGCTGATGTGCAACAGTTTGTGTATCTAAATCTATAACTGCACTTAAGTTCTGAGACCAGGTTAGATGAGTTCAAAAGAAATAATTTCCACATTTCCTCAGGCAACAGTTTTCTAATAAACCTCATCCTGTGTGCAGTACTCAGACTATAATCACAAGGATGGATTTTCAGCTCACACTAAGGTCAAGCTGCAGTCTGGGCCATTGGGGCTCCATGTTTGTCTTGCTGTTGCCTTGGTGTTAGGAGTTTCTCCATGGCCTGACAACTCTCTTGTTTCTCTTGTCCTAAGGGTCTCTTCAGGGTGGCTCCCTCCGCCTCCAAGTTAAAGAAACTCAAAGCCGCTCTAGACTGCTGTGTAGTGGATGTGCAAGAGTATTCAGCTGACCCGCATGCCATTGCAGGTAAAGGGCATCTCCCCTCTGACACTCCAGCCTTCAGTAATGGCAGTTTGCATTTCTGTATATGATCCCTTCCCATCCAAGGGACTGTTAATGAACTAAGCCCCTGCAGCAGGGAAATCCTCTTGTTGAGAGCTGGTTGGGAATTTCCCAGCAGTACACTGGACACTGGCAAATACTGATTCATCCAAAGGACATTTTTCAGCAACATACAGCTTTTGACCAAAGTGTTCTTTAAAAAAAAATGGAAATATTCTGGTTCTGTGTGTCAGTGTTAATTTTTGTTTCAGTTTCATTTGAATGTGTTTGATGGTGTATATAAATATAAAATAAAAGAACTGAAACCAGAGTGGCTCATTTCAGTCTACCAAGATAAAAATATTTTTATTGACCTACAACATTTATTTTTATTTATGTTTCTTAGGAAATTTTGAAACTGTTTTGTTATAGCTCTATTCTAGAACAGGGGAAAAAATTGGAAATTGTGACATTTTTCTATGATTTCCCTCCCAGAACACGCCCAACTTTTAGTACTGTCTTGTGCAGCTGTGAACTTGAGATCCACTGCTGTATTTTCTAAACAGCAAGGAAAAAGGAAGCACCCTTCAGCAGGGACCTCATATGAGGGTTAATAGCTCTGCCTGATAGGAAAAAGTCAAAAATGACCTTTTTTGGCATTTCATTATATAGCTTTTCAAATGATCAAGTCACTTGATTAAAGCTATTTAAAGACAAAAAAAGAGAGAGAGAATCTGAACTCTTTTCCTCATTTATTTCTAGCATTGAGAAAAAATAGAACAGTTGGGTAGTCTTCATTATATATGTATATCTAATTTAACTCTAGCTGTACATTGTGTAAAATGATTATCTAGTTCTTTAATTGAAAACAATGCTGTTCTCACAGTAATATAAATCTAGAAAAACTCTATTCTGGAATTAATCCTGGTTTCCTGCAGCGTGATGGAAAAATTGGCCCATTGCCTCTCAACATATAACAATAGGGTGTCTGACAAACAAGCACTGAAGAAGCTACGTAATGATATATTAGGCCTAAAGTGGGATAGGAACACTAATGGATTTGGCAGTTAGTACAGAAATAAATGTGACCTCTGTTTAAACACTGATTTCATGTACACGTTATACAAGGGCTGAACAACTTCTAAGCCCCGGGGGCACAACAGCAGGGGTTACGCTACCAGTCAAGCCACAGGTTATTGGGCTGCATAGGCATTTTCTCCCACCCACCACTGCACCGTACAGCCATGAGGGCACCCTTTCCTGCCACGGCTGTACTAGGCACCCCACCCCCTGCTATAGCACATGGGCAGGCAAGCACAATTCAGACCCTCCCCACCCAGGTGCAGCACATGTCCTGGAGGGCACCCCACCACCACTGTTGCAGCACACAGACACTGTCTCCCTTGCATGGCCTCATACTTATCCTCAGCTCCCTTAGCTGCTCACTTTGTTGCCTTGCCCCCCTGTGGGGGGGAGGCAGGAAGTAGCAGCTGGAGAGGGAAGGGGGAGTCTAGAAACTGGGGGCAGTGGCAGCCGAACAGGACCCCAGGGGCCGCGACTTAACGGTTCGTGAGCTTCACCCTCATGTACCAGTTGGCTTCAGATTTGCCAAATAAAGGCAGTACTTCTCAATCTTCAGTTTCCTCAAACTGTTATGTTGTCTTTGTTTTCCTTGCTTGCCTACAATTCTGTTTGCTGCAAAAGAGAAAGAAAATGTCATTTTGATTCCAGTAGTTTCATAATGTTTATTAATTTCCCTGTTGTTAGCCAGTGGATTTGTCTGGTGCATTTTAAAGACTCTAAATGTACTCAGATAGATGCAAAATCTATTTTGTTCAGAAAAGTTATGGGTGATGCTGAAGAAATGTAAATACTGTTATGATAGCCATGAGGCATTCTGCAAATTGGGCGATGAGCATTGGATAAATGGCTAGATACAGCTATATGCTTGCACGTGTGCACACATACACCATCAAGTTTCAAAACTGGTTCTTACAGATTCTGTGACTAAGCAAAATGCTGGACAAATAAAGTCTTCACCTTACTGGGCTCTTCAAACGTCAGTTTTGCTTAGAAAAAACACTTTGTATCCGTATCCCTTGTGGATTTTGAGTCTGAGTTTTTCAACCAGTTAAAATATTTAGATTTTAAATTTCTGTCAATTCTAATGGGAAATAGGCATCCAAAACTCACATGCAACTTTTGAAGAGCTATATAGTGACATGCCAGGAGTACTGCGACAGTTGAATGCTCTGTAATGTTAAGCTGCTGTTCCTTTCTGGATTAGAGATGGTTTCCCTGCCCTTTCAAGCTTTTACCTGGGACATGCTGAGGACACCCTCAGTTGGTAGCAATGTCAGTGGCAGCAGAGGGTGCTCAGTGCTTTGCAGGATTGATCCCTAGTGAAATGAGTCTGATCTTGCTGCTATTAAAGCCAATGGCAAAGTTGTCTTGGAACTGCAGCTGAAGCAGGCTGTAAGCAGTTGGTACACTGCTGTTACACTGAGTGCTGTTCTGTGAATATTACTGATATGAATTATTGTGGGAGCAGGTTGGGGTGTTACAGAAGTGACAAAAAAACCAGATAGATGTAGGTGGAAAGTATGCATGGCTGTGATCATAGATTATTATATTTTAAGATGGGTGTTGGACTAATGGACTATTTGGGATTCACATTTTGAGAAATTTATGAGTAAGGTAGTTGAAAAAAGGAGTCAAAATGATTCATTCTAATCTCACTGCCCCAAAAGAGGAAAAAGAGAAAGTAACTGTGACAGCAGGAATGATAAAAACCTGGATTTTTGTCACAATTATTAGCATTCTAATTAGGGCAGTTTGGGTTATTGTCGAAATAACAATAGTGAGGCTGCTCTGAAGCTGCCATTAAGGCAAACAGAGCCTAGACCCTGACCTCTGTGCTTTGCTGCAGGGGCTAGAATCCAACCCCAGGTGCAGCACAAGTCCCCTGCGGTTTCTGCCCAGAAAGCCGTATTTTGGTCCTAAATGGCCAGTGTTACCTTTTGTTTTTTAGGAGCACTGAAGTCCTATCTCCGAGAGCTGCCAGAGCCTCTCATGACCTTTGAACTTTATGAAGAATGGATTCAAGCCTCCAAGTGAGTTCCCAATATGACTTCCTGGGTTCGTTCAGGTACAAATTTCAAAGGTGTTCCATTTGTCAGGGTATTCAGATTTGAGGTCCCATTTCTTGAGAATAGTCAAGGACTCAGCAAAACTAATGGTCCAGCCATGTGATGAGCTGACAAATTAATCCTATGCTCTTCTTCCCTTCCTAGCATCCAGGACCAAGATAAGAGGCTGCAGGCCCTATGGAATGCCTGTGAAAAAATGCCCAAGACCAACTACAACAACATCAGGTCAGTGCATGGGTGGGCACATGCATTTGTGTGTGCATGCATGTGCAACAGGGACACTTAGACCATGTCTCCATGCACAGTTGCCAAGTTTGGCATGAAGTATGACTTTAAAGCATGTTGTTGAACCCCTGGAGCCCCTGCTGAAAAGTGTGCACATCACATTTCAGTGTAAACCATATTTATTGTGATTTTGCTTAATTGAATTTAATTGAATGAAGAGCATTACTGTGAACTATGCCTCCCTTTGTGCCAGGTGAGGGTGTGGGGGCAGCCCCCAGTGGATCTCTAGTTAAAACTAGCAGTGCTGTTTCTGGTGACGACCATCCTTATTCCAGTTTCTGGTATGTTGGCCAAGATGAGGGTCATCATACATTCATACCAGTCTTTGTGCAGTTATAACTACATTGAGTTAGAAACCAGTTTGAGTTGAAGTGGTGGAGTCCTCTTGTGTAGACCACAAGTAAGTAGGAACTTGAGGGTATTTTTGTCCTCAAATCCCTGTCGAAGTCCCATTAATACTAATTGGATTTCTGCATGGCTAGTGATACATGGCCCAATCCCACAAGCTGCTGAGCCTCCACTGAAGTTGGAAGGTTTTTGGTACCTCCCGTAACAAGTACTGATTCAGGGAGTCTTGCTGGTCTCCAGAGGTTCTGTTCTGGCATGTGGCTCCGAGTCTCTGGCTAAGCCCTACTTTGTGCTCGTTTAAATTAATTTCTCAGCTCAGTCCATTCAAAACCCTTCTTAGTGTGGGGTGGATCCCAGGAGCTTCTGTGCACAACATGAAGGCTGCATGTGCATTGAGTTCAGCCATAGTAAAAGAGCACCAAGTGCATTTCTATGGGAGGGCTGCAAACAGATTGTTGGGTAAGGACCTGCCTACCTCCCACCTCAACTTTTCCGTCTCTGCCCTAGGGAGAAGAGAGTGTGAGAGATCAGATAGACTACAGAGGTCGAAAGCTCTTTCTAGGTCCAGCCAACTCCCTGATGCTGGCCATGGAACTGGAGCTGCCGAGCACTTTCTGAGATACCCCTTTTCATTGCATGGTCTTGGCTTAGTGCCCATGGAGCTAATACCATGTGGGGGATTTTAGTATTGCTCCATGTAATTTTAGAGCAGCAGGACTGGGGACACCTGCACCAAAGAAACAGAAGTCCATTCAATCCATAAAATACTGAACCTGGGGTTTTTAAAGGAGCACTAGTTCATCTCCAGTTGAACTTCAAGAAGATTTGGCTGCCTCATTTCTTTAAGCCTCACTGAAAATCCCAGCCTTATTGTTATTACCAACTACAGTGACTAATGGTGACAGCCTTGTATCCTGAATTCCATGCTTTGTTATTGAGCAGTTCCCTCTCCATGAATCCAGTGTCATACAGAGATGCAGGAATCTATTTCCTACAATGTTGATCCAGGAGGGCCCAAATCTATTGACTTTTGGTGCATATTGCAAGCCACCAGCCACCCAGGCTGTTGGGAGAAGGGCAGGTCCAAAGGGTTGCTGTCTGCAGAGAGTCGGTTTATTGACTTCCATGATTTAGCAGTTACTGCCCAGTAGGGTAGGATTTCCAATTGAGTGTGGTTTGTACTAGAGCACTTTAGATCCTGGACTAGATCTGAATCCTGGAGAGCAGAGAGATTATACCGAACTAAAAGGGAAGGAATTTACAACGCATGATCTTATGTCAACTGATCTGGTATAACCATTCCTGATGTCTGCTGTATCACACAGTAAATAGGAGCTAAACCGAGACAGTTTACCCCTCACTGAAACAATTGCTGAATAACAGACTAAGCTTCTGTTTACCATGGGGTAGGAGTAGACACAGAAAGTTTTAGTGGATTAGCTTGATGCTTGGTAATTTTCTCCCCCACCTACCCACAACCCCTTTTAATGTTATAATTTTTCACCCGTCTGTATACTTATACCTTTAGGTTCTTAGCAATGGAAATAAATCTATGTTGTGAGTAGTCCATGAAGCCTAAAGCAAAGGCATGTCTTACAACCTTACAGAAAGCAACTTTGGCTGGTGGTTAGAGAGGAAGACTGAGAGTGGAACATCTGGGTTGTATCTCCACTTGTATTGCAGCCTTGGTGGCTTTGAGGGTAGGGTGGCTTTTGACAAGTCACAGAAGGATTGAAAAGGTCCCTTAGAATTGGTTTGTAAGTGTCCAAGTGAAATATATGTTGAGTTCATGGTAGTTTCTGGCATTCACTGCAAGTCCTGACCTGTAAACTACCTGATGTGATAGAGGCCAAGGTACTATAGCCCTGAGAGGACCTGGCATGTAGTGTGTGGTTTTACTTTGTTCTTTTCTGAAAGAAGCATTCAGTGGCTGGTGCAGTTACAGAGATTATGCCCTACAAGCATAGGCTAAGGTGCCTGTCCAGTCTTACCCCTGTCTCTTGATCGTCTCTTCCAGATACCTGATCAAATTTTTAGCAAAGCTAACAGAGTACCAGGACGCTAACAAAATGACACCGAGCAACGTGGCAATAGTGCTGGGTCCCAATCTCCTCTGGCCTCAAGCAGAAGGGTAAGTGGTGAGTGTGTGGTGCAGGTCTCCCTCTCTGCCCAAACAACAGTGGATGGGAGTTTGTTATAGCTCAAGTCGTGTTTCTTGAAGATCAGTGGTTCTCAACCTTTTTAGGCTTAAGGCATCCCTTGTTAGACTTGGGCACCCTTCAGAAAATGTCAGCTCATATCTTTTACTCATTTTTTGACTGCAGAAAAATACTGAAGCGGTTCTATTCAAAAAAACTCAAAAACCAACACAGGACAGAAGTCATTTTTATGCTGTGAATTCCTGTTTGAAATCTCTGGGTTTTTCTCATTGATGCTGTGTAGGTGTTTTCACACACAACAATGATAATATTGCAGAGTACCCCATGGCACCCTTACAAGGATCTCACAGCACCCTGCTTGAGAGTCACTGCTTTCAATCAAGCTGTGGCATCTCAGGCCTTTAGCTCTGTAAATTCTTAGCTCAGTCCACAGTGGGCGTGCCTACATATGTATTTACATGTGCCTAAATTTAATGCACAGTAAGTCAATTTACATGTGCGTCTATACTTGGACACGCTAATGCACATTCATACGCATTAAATTTAGGCACGAATAGCTAAGTCCCATTACTGCACATGCAGATGCGCTGTTGCCCATTAACATGGTGTGTATCCATTGATGCACACCACGTTAATGCACATTGACAAGTCTACACGTGCTAATGTGACTTAGCTGTCCATGCCTAAATTTGATACCTGCATTATGCAAATAACAAATTTAGATTCATATAACCTTAAGTCACCATTTTTAAGGTTCATAAAGGGCGTCCACACACCTTTAATGGCTCTTTTAGGCTAAGTCCACTTAAAAGAGACATATGTAGACATGCCCAGTCAGTTGGCTAAGATGGAGAGGATCACCTACACAGAGGAGAAAGCAGAATAGAAGAGTTACCTTGGAGACTGTTCTTGGCAGAGAATTAATGGTAGCTGCTGCTATTCTTGTTTTCTTTCATCCTGCTTTTTCTAAAGTGCTGGGCACCCTTAATTCTGGTAGACGTTGGCAGGAAGATGGATGCTCAGCATCTCTGGGAATCAGGCCACTTGCTGTAACAGAGCACAAGTTGTGCTCTGTTACTCACAGGGTGTGGGCAAGCAACAGAGCAGTCTGCAGCTGTCTGCACTCCTCATCAGACACAACTGCCTGATTGAGAAGAGGGCCCAGCTGCTTGTTATAAGAACAGGGCTCTGAGCAATGAAACCAACAGTCTGCTGCCAGCAGCCGGGAGAAGAACACCACCCAGCTGGGGATGCTGCAAGGGGATAAGGTGATTGAGGCCCAGTGTTGGGCAGGGGATGAGGCTCCAGTGTGGGGGCATAAGGGGACCAAGAGGGTTCTGAGCCAGGCTGGGAGTCTGAGGAAAAGGGAGGGGCTGGGAGCCCCGAATGATTGAATGAGAGCCCAGTGTGAGGGTACAGAGATTGCGAGCCCCAGTGTGAGGGCATGGGTGTGAGAGTCCCAACATGAGGCACGTGGGTGCTAGTGTGAGGGCACGGGCTTATAGGCCTGGTGTTAGGCCATGGATACTATCTGTGAGGCATAGGACACATTATAGGGGAGGTAGGAACCGTGTATATCGGCAGCCTCCTGCCTTGTTATCAACTTTTAATTGCATTATCAAAGGTGAGGTAGGCAGGCGGTTAGCCCAGAGACAAGTGGGCAGGCCAATCACTTGACCGGCCCTGGGTTGCTCACTTGTTATGCTCACGTGCCTAAAGAGGAGGGTTTGGAAGAATGCAGAGAGGATTATTTGCATGTCAGGACCACTGTTGTTGTCCTAAGGGTAAGGTAGCTGCACTGTGGATGCATTTATCACACCGAATTATGTCACGATAGTCTAGTATCTGCAGCCAAAGTGGTATGTAATTGAGAACATCAGGAATGAATTGGGAATAAAGGTCTAGATCCTTTTCTGGTACCAGCAGGAGTGGCAGCAAACCACAGCAAGGCCCTGCTCTTTTACCCCAGCTGAGGAGCTGTTACAGGAGCACAACACCTTCGAAAGCACCTTGAGCATCATGCTTGTTAGTAAACTAATTAATTAAGAAGCATCTACAGATGAAGAGCAGTGCTATTAATCATAAATGCAAAGAGAAAATACTGAGCAGAGAGGAAGCAATGGGTAGATGCCCTTACATTTTTGTGTCCTCGGAGCATTTCCACATCTGACATTCCTCACAACTAGCATTCTTGGCTCAGGTTGGAATAGCAGAGACTGCAGATCAAAACTGAGGGGGACTGGCAGAGCTGCATGCGGATCCCTTGACTATTAGCTGTGGGACAGCTTAGGTTTGAAATACCAGGCAGTGTGGAAAGTCCTAGTGGACCAGGAAGGGGACCTGCAAATCAGGATTGTAGTGCATTAGCAGAGCTATGTTGGTATAGTAGGGGGACTGCTTATCAGAACTGGCCTACATTGGCTTTGGCCAAAGCTATGGAGCATTGCTTCTGTGAACAGCAGCCATTGCAGTCTTCCTGTCTGTATTTAGCCACTGCCTCTACCCCTGTGTTGCAGGAACATCACAGAGATGATGACGACAGTCTCTCTGCAGATTGTTGGAATTATCGAGCCCCTCATCCAGCACGCCGACTGGTTCTTCCCTGGAGGTAGGCCAGGCTTCTCCAGCCACCGGCACTGCCCTTTTGGACCTCCTAGTACCAAGAATCATCCCAGCCAAGCATGCTAGCCATGAGCATCTCTCATCACTGGGGGCCTCTAGGGAAGGATCAGGAGAGATGTTGTAAACTGACTCAAAAATCAGAGACATGGGAATAGGTTGGGGCAGTCTCAGTCCAGTTCCCTGTGACTAGAGATGGACATCAGAAAACCCACTGCTGACATAGGCTCTAGTAGGTAGAAAGGCAGCCTTCCTCACCCTGGGCAGTGCTTGTACAGGGCTGCCAATGACGAACTGGCATTGTAGTAGCCCTACTCCAGGATTAATTCCCCAGACCTGCCACCCCAACACTGCAATCAGACTCTGCAGCTCTGCTGGCTGAAGAAAGGGCTATCCCTTCTTGCCACAGGACATAAGTATCTGTGAGGGCATGTTCCTCTACAGCATCTGCTGTGGGGTCTAGCAGTCCAAGGCCCAAGAAAGCCAAGTTATTTGCCTTGGAACCAGAGATGGAGCATGGAAGGCAGGGTTTGCTTCAGCTGAGTCCTGAGCAGGCAGCCTCGTGGAGCTGTAGACGATGCTCTCTGCTTCTCCTGGCCTCTGCTGTATTCCTTCTGCACTAATCTACCCCTGTCAATAGAGCGTGGGCTCTGGCAAGCTTGTAGATGCTGAGTTGTCTGTACAGCATCCAGCACAATGAGATCCTGGTCCATAACTGGAGCTCTTAGGCATTGTTGCTATACAAGTAATAAATGGTAGTAATAAGGCCTCCTTGCCAAGATCCTCTCAGCACCATACTGGCGCTGAGGAAATGCTCCTAAAAAACACATGACTCTCTTGCTTTCCCAACCAGACATCGAATTCAATGTGACTGGAAACTACGGCAGCCCCATGCACGTTAATCACAACGCCAACTACAGCTCCATGCCTTCACCTGACATGGACCACTCTGACCGCAAACAGCATGACCAGGCCCGGCGCCCCCTCAGCGTGGCCACGGACAACATGATGCTGGAGTTTTATAAAAAGGATGGGTAGGGTCTTTTCTCTTCAGTGCTAAGGCTTGGCTTTTTATTTTAAGTCCTTTTTGGTTTTATGAGCTGGAAGAGGCTGCATCCAACAGAACATTGGCTGGGAGATCTGCTCGGGACAGGGGCCTATTGCACCTGGCGGGATGTTGGCTGGGAGAACTGCTCTGTCGCTGACTGGTCTGTAACTGGTCGTATCCACATGGGTGAGCGCAGATGCCTTGCTGCCTTGTCGCACCCACACTCCCCTGCTCCTGACCTCTCTGCCTTTCCATGTCAGCTGATGTTTTGGCCTTTTTAAGAGGGGGAGATCCATTTCCCCTTCCTCTTACCCCACTTGCAGTTGGAAGGTAAGTATCACTGGGCACACAAACCCTACCAAAGACAGAAAGATTGTGCAGGAGTCTTAGGAGAGCTGGTTAAATGAACAGTGCAGACTGCTGATCCTGAAGGCACTGCCTTGCAGGCAGTTCTGTGGGAGCAGAGAATGTACGTTCCTGCTGAACCCTGGGGGCTTAGTGTCGATTGTGGCATTATGTGTGTGTGCAATCATCTTGAGTGTAAGAAACTGGATAAGTGGTGAAGCGAAAGACAGGACAGGCCTGGAAGGTCTCTTCCATTACTTGTTATGGTGAATCATTATTACTTGGGTATGATACAAGCAAACCAAGTTTTTGCTTCTAGCTTAATCAAAACTATGGTTTCCTTTAGCTAGCACAGTGCAACCTTTGAAGGAAGCCGTCACACACCAGTTGCCAACATAGACTATTGCTGCCTTTTAACTCTGATTTCCCTGGGACCACAGGCATATATAGCACTCTGCAAGCCCTGGAGAAATCTGTGGTCCTGGGTCTCAAGGGTTTCTAGTCCCCACTACAGCGCATGCAGTGACTCTAAAGTCACACATGTGGCCTAATGGGATTCATGACAGAATAAGCCATGGGAACAAAATGTAGAAATAATGAATAGCAGGTTCTATTCAGGAACATAAGAAGTGCCATATTGGGTCAGACCAGTTATCTGTCTAGTCCGGAAATCTGTCTAAGAGTGGCAAGTAGATTCTGTAGAGGCATCATATGTATGAGGAGAGGCTGAGGGGACTGGGCTTATTTAATCAGGAGAAGAGAAGGCTGAGCGGGGGTTTGATATCAGTCTTTAACTACCTGAAGGGTGGTTACAAAGAGGGTGGTGCTAGGCTGTTCTCAGCAGTGGCAGATGACAGAACAAGGAGCAGTGGTCTCAAGTTGCAGCAAGGGAAGTTTAGTTTGGATATTAGTAAAACTCTCACTAGGAGGGTGGGGAAGCACTGGGGCGGGCTCTCTAGAGAGGTGGTGGAATCCTCACCCTTGGAGATGTTTAAGGCCCATCTTGACAAAGCCCTGGCTGGAGTGATCTAGTTGGGGGTGGTCCTGCTTTGAGCAGTGGGTTGGATTAGATGTGACCTCCTGAGGTCCTTTCCAACCCCAATTTTCTATAATTCTGTATGTACAACACATGTCTAGTATAATCCATCCCCTCTTGTACCCTCCCTGGCATTCATTGTCATTGGTTTAAGGATGTCAGAGGGTAGATCCCTGACTGTTCTGTTTAACTGCTGTCTAATTCCTTAGGTAATCAACAGTGCCTGTGCCCTACAGTTATGGATTTGTAGAGCATGCCACACAAGAAAGGCCTCTTGGTGCTACCATGGGGTAAAGAGTACATAATGGTGATACTTCACACCTGACAATATCTAAGCAGCTTCTGACAATTAATGCCTCCTTACATTCACCGGTGAGGTAGACGAAGTGCACTTCTCTTCACCCCACTCCCGGTATTGTGGGGAAATGGGAAAGAAAGATTTGAAGTCACTTGCTGCATACTTACATGGCAGGTCAGTGACAGAGCTAGAAAAACAGCTCAGTGGAGGTAATTCTGCACTCCTTGTTTGCACCACCAGTGGACCTCTTCCCCAGCTTCAACATTTTGACATATACAGTGAGAGAAACAGCTAGCTCTGTGACAGGTAGGAAGGTCAGTGCTTCAGTCTCATCTCTGTGAAATTACTCCCATTTTGAAAGCCCCACAATCAAATCTCAAGAGAAAGTCTTGTGGTTTGGTTCACACAAGTTGCAGACATGTAAGGCTGCGGCACAAGCCCAGGGGAGTGGGTGCTACCTGAGCAAAGAGGAAACATGCACTCAGTTGGATTGGGAATATTTTCCTGTATCCACAAGGAGCACAGAAATGAGGGAAGGTGTTCAAGGGACTTCCCTATGGGATGTGAACTACCATACAACATATTTAACAATAGGGCTGTTGCATGCCTGAATTACTGTCTGTACCCACGCGTGCTTTGGGATCACCCGTAGAGTTAAATGTCAGCTGTCCAGGCTCTTCTACTGTAGAATATCCCCCAGAAACCAGAATATAACGTGAACTTTCTAACATAATAACGCGTGGCCCTCTTCTCGTACACACCCGCAAACCCTGTCCTCCTCTCACATGTATGGTATGACAGTTCTTGGAAATCCCTGTGTGCACAGCAGAATCTTCTCTATTGGCACAATCTTTGGCATGTAAGGTTTTTATAATCATTATTATTATAATTGAACAAACTGCTTGTCTTCTTGATGATGCCATTCTTCTGTAACCCTTATTCAAAGATGTCTGTGATGTTATTTTGGCTCACTGAACTGGCTTCCATATGATGGTTGCCTTTGCCCAGTGGAAGCTTTTAGACGTAGTTTCTTATACACTAATATTTGTATGTTTCTGTCCATGCAGCCTTAGGAAAATCCAAAGGTACAGTATCCTCTAGTAGCTACTGGACCATTTTAAGCCTGTCTCAGGCCACCTGCATTCTGAAAGCAAAGGCAGAACCATTCCAGTAGGCAATGAGGTTAGGGCATTCCCTGCTGTGCAAGAGAAAGTGCTGGGGGTTTTTTTTTACATTTAGTGACATTAAAGGGTAAATTCTGAGCTGGCTTCTCCCCCGGTGGTATTCCATTAAAGTTGTTTTAAAGGGGGAACGAGGGAAGGGATGAGCCTATGTAGAATTAGGTCTTGATACTTCATTTGACTTAAATGACTGTTGCACTTCATAACTTTGAGAGAAAAAAAAACTTTGGGGGAATTCAGTGGGGGGATTTACTCTAACTTCCTAGGAGTCACTGTCTAAAATGCACACTCATCCATTTTGGCTTCAAAGTTGCGTTTTTCACTCAAGTTTGTGGCTGTTCGGAGGCGAGACCTCCAACCAAGATTTCGTACTTCTGACTGCCACCTGGGGGAAATCTGTATCAGTCAAAGCAACTTTTGCAACCCTTAAAATAATAGCTTTTTGCAGCTACCTTGCATTTGCAAATAGTCATGCACATCCTTATAACTCCACAGTAAACAAACAAGGTTTAAAATCAGCTAGGGTTGGTTTTGGTTTCAATCTCTCCTCTAGCAACACTGGTGTTGTCTGTGGGAGGGCTGTAACGAGGGTGCCTGAGTCAGGAGTCGGTCCCTAAATGTAGTCCTTCCCAATGGAGCCTAGCAGCTCTAAAAGTAAAAGCTAAAACTGACAATGAAGGTATGCTTTGGAGTCTGTCTACAAAGTCTTCCAGGACAATTTGGGCCCTGTAGTCCTTTCTGTCCTACAGGTTGAAATAGCACTGGGGTCTTCTTGCAAGAAGAATTTCTGAAGGGCCAAAAAGGGACCTGACCCAAAACAGGGTAGGCCAAGCCTCCAGCAAGGTCTTACGCAGGTCAAGTCCCCATGTCCTGGTAAAGTCCATATTCCACAAGGAGCCAGTTGACTATACTGATTGTCCCCGGGAGGGAACTCTGTCAGACTTTGAATACACTTTTCCAAACAGAGTATAGTGCAGTAGATTTTTTTTTCCTTTTGCTGCTGTTTGTGCAAATCTTTTCTTTGTTTTCCTCTGACCCTGACTTCCGCAATGGTAAGGGAATGTCTCTGTGTCCCCCCAGCATGGGCGTCAGGGTGATGGACACATCTTGGGTGGCCCGCAGAGGCACCTCCATAGTTCGAAAAGCGTCCTCCACCCCGCCTGCCATGCAGCCCCCTGCTCCGCCTTCCGATCTTCCTGCTGCTCCTCAGTCACCAATTCCTGAGCAATCTCTTGATATTTCAGCTACTCCCCCCCCTACTCCAACTAGCTTTGGCTTCCAGCCAGGAGCCGAACGGGCAAGGTAAGTCCGGGTGGCAGTGACTGTTACTGCTGCTGCTTTATGTGGATCAAGAGCCTCTGCAGACACACCTCCTTCTCACCTGCATGCGCTATTTTTATTTCATGCATCAGCTTTTTGTATGTGAATCCAGGCGCAAAATAAACCAAGCTTTCAGCCACCCAGTTATGACCAAGAACATGGGGAAATGCCAGAGCAGTCTCTGGGTAAATGGGGCTAGAAAGTAGTTCCCAGCTGGATGGAAAATAAAAATTCTGCAAAAGCAGAGGCTGGGGGCACAGGGCATATACTTCCTGATCCAGGATGTGTGGATTTTACATTCCCAATATACCATCTTTGCCTTGATTCATTGCAGTCTAGAAATTCAAGGTGTTCCTGCCCTCAAAGGCAAGTTTGCCTGTGTCTGAAGGCATCTCACCTATGTTGGCCCAGAGATGAGAGAGAGAACATAAAAACTGAAGTCAAAGTTGTCATGTGGCTCCAGGTAGTGCTAAGTATTGGGTCCACCTAGCTGGCTGTTCCACTGCTCCTGCCTTTTGTCTTGCTGAGTCCTGAGGATATGCTGTTCCTACTGGACCTTCCACAAATGGCCATCCCTTGGCCAGACTCACCCCCTAAATTGTTTTGTACTGAGTATCATTTCAATCCTCTGACTGACAGGAAAAGGATGGTGATTCTTCTTGGTGTCTGCAAGAGTATATGAGCCAACCTTAAACAACAATTACACCAGCAACATTTGTGCTTGTAGTAATTTGCCCCAATCCCATGTCTCCAGCCACCTCATTTTTTTCCACTGTGTACTGATACATGAGGAAATTTGCAGACAGTGTAGAAGCCTCCTTTGAAAAAATGTGTTTGGCCCTGAAACATCATTCCTCAAGCCCATTCCTTAACAGATGCTTCATTGGACTAGACTTTCCTCCCACAGAAGGAGAAATCTTCCTCTTCCAGAAGTCCCTCTATTTTGCGTTGATGGATTCACACACAGCCTCACGGCAGGCAGGCTGCAAACAAGCTGTCCTGTCAGATGTCATCACCTGTGTGCACAGAGAATGGGGCTGATGTGACTCACTCATGCTTCCAGTCTATGCCTCTCGGTGTGCTTCTGGCCAAAAGCAAGTATGGAATTTAGCTTCTAATGTGCTGCATGTCAAGGGACTTCCCAATGTACAGCCAACTCCTTGTGTGTGCTGGAAACAGTTGTGAGGGCTGGGCGTTAGATAGAGAACTCAGAAGGAGGCATATATCAACATGATTGGGTGGCAGAAAAGAGCACCAAAATCTAATGCAGATGTTCACCTGCTCGGGGTCTGTATTTTGATCTGATTTTTATTTCCCTGGTGGTGACGGCTCCACCCCTTCTGCCCTCCCAAAGGGCAGTCAGGTAGTTTTTAAATTACTGAACAATTTTCTATGAAGAGCTCTGATCTTCGTGCTACTGATGGGAATCCAGAATGGCCTCTGTTGCAGCATAGCAACCGAGATTAAAACCTGCCCCATTTCATTTCCTGTCTTCTGTCCTTGAATGTCCAACAATTCATATGTCCCTGACTTTTGTGGTCTGCGTTCACTTGTCTTGGTTAACAAGCTCTCTCTCAGCTGGTATGTTTTTTTGCCTTATCCTACTCTGAACTGTAATAACACAAACATTTTGTTTTCTTATTCCCCAAACCTGGCTAGATGCCCTTTTCATACCTCAACATCCTTTTTGCATGACTTTACACAGAAGTTGCTGCTTTAGCTTCAATGCCTAGGACTGCGTAAGTCCCTTGCCCTCCCACTCCTACCTTTACCAACACATACAGGCCAGGTCCATCTCAGCCTGTGGGGAAACTTCAGCCTGTGTTGTCTTTCCATGTGAATCATGCTGTCGTTCCTCCACCCTCCCTTTTATTTTACATATACATACAGGCATCATGCTAAAGTGAGAATAACTCAACACAAACCTTGGAACTAGCTTGAGGGGAGGAGCACCGCTGAGAAACAAACCCTTAAGACATGCAACTTCATTAGAAACCGTTCCAGGCCACCAACCCCTCTGGGGCAGGTTCATCCTCATCCAGGTGAATGTACATCCCGGAGTTTGGAAAGGGCTTTTAGTAGCCACTGTCCAGGGCACCCCTCCTGCAGACCCTTTGACACTTGCTTGGCCTTGCATCTGTGCACAGTGCCTCACTATTTTGTCTTTATTCCCTGGCTTGGGCCCTCTCTATGCCACTCCTGCCTTGCCTTTCTGTAGATCAGTGGCTCCCAGACCTGTACAGTCAGTGTAGTACTAGTGTTACTTCCCACTTTGTGACTGATGCCCCAAGCTACCCTGTCCTCATTTATCCATGTGTCTCTGATGTGGGCCAAGATGACTATCTTCTGCCTACCTCCTATTCAGCCATGTACGCTCTGACTTTTCGTAGGACTTGGGTAGCTTTTTCAAATGCAAACCAGACTTGGACTATGACAGATACTGATTGAAGGTTTAGGGCCAGGCACTGACCTCTGTTTCCCTAGAGTAAATTCAGAAATTCTGGATTTCCCTAGTGTGACAATGCCATTATAAGCAAAATCTGGTGCAGTTTTCTGCAGAGGCTGGGACCCACTGCTCTAGTCCCACAGTATTTCGCTCTCTCTCACATGCACACGCACATGGTGTAATCCTAGAGGCTCCAGGCTCAGTTGTTTCTCATTTTAGTTATAATTCTTATTACTCCTCTTAGCTGCTCTACCAGTCATGACTCGCCTGTTTGGTTCCTCTGAGTACAAACACTTGCTCTTTCTTTTTGTTCTGTTTTGTTCTGTTTTTTTGGACATTTTGCAGCACAGATGATGTGTCGTCTAGTTGGTCGGATTCCTGTTACAACTACCCTTCCCCTGAGGATGACAGGCCTTCCCCTTTTCCTTGCTATCGGCACCTCCATCATTTCTACCCCAAGGCTAGACCCGAGGCCCTCTCGCCACCATACCGGTGGCCAGGGTACAGCCAAACTCTGCCTCCCCCTTCCTCTTCCTCCTCCTCTGCTTCTTCCTCCCTTCAGCAGCTTGACATTAACTCTAACCCTAAACCGTGCTTCCTGCACCTCCCCAAGCAGAGCTCCTTCACTGAATCGCATGCTCCCGATATTAATATCTCCCCCCTGTACATCAAAACCCCACTTGTCTTAACCAAACCTGATCCACTTGGCACTCCTCACAAGCCCTTAATGTCAGCCTCTCCCCCCTGGGTCAGCTGCACCTGTGCCAGAGACAGAGGAGCCGGGCTGAGTAGGTAAATAAGCTTCCTTGATAATGAAAGAGCAGCACTCGCGGCAAAGGGTTAAAGAGCGACTCACTCGCTGTGTACCATGGTGAAAGCAGCTGTTGCATATGTGCAAATAGTCCTCAGCTCCCATGTCCCAGCCCCAGCCTGCTCACTAGCAGTGGCCTGGACTATTTGGTTTGGTGGCTCCATTAGTTCCAGAGAAGCTCAGGTTGGCCGAGTAGACACTGGGCAGGCAGTAATGAACTAGTCTCCAAGACTAGTGAAGCCCACCTGATGTGTGTCCTGCCTAGTTCCTCTCCTCCCCTCTCCCAACAGAGCACATGCTCAGGGCTGGCCCTTTTCCCACTTCTGAAAGGCAGAGCCATGAAGAGGGAACAAAGTAAAATGGATGTCATAGACGAAATTACACTGATGCTGATCCAGCACAGCTCCATTGATACCTGTGGTGTTCCTTTGGATTCACCTGAGGGTAAATCCCTGAAGTGGGTCCTACGCACCGTCAGATGCACCAGGATCCACCTGTGTACCTGCAGGACAAACCACATTGAACTCTTCCCTCCTTAGCTGGCTGGTTCTGCATCCTTTACAGCACAGGCTATAAACTTTCACCTGGATTACCTGGGCTAGCCACCATGCTGAGCTAAAGACTTTGATAAGCTATAATGCTGCTTGCTGTGCTGCCTTGTTTGCAAAACCTCAGTTGTTGGTTCATCTGGACAGCTGTAGCCAGTCCGTCCTTCCAGGCCAAGCATTGGCTCAATAGCAAATGGTTAAGACATGGACTTGGTGACAAAGCTTAAAATCCCAAAGCCCACAAGAAGTTCACTTCTTTACAAAACAAAGTTTCTTCTTTGAAGAGCAGCTGTCTGGCTTTGGGGGCAGAAGGATTTGTATTTTGTTCCATCTTTGCTCTGTCCCACGTGACTGAGGGCTGCCATATTGCTTCATGCTCTCATCGTGCTCAGCCTGCTTGAAAAGATGTCAGCGCGTCTTGAGTCCAGTATGTCAAGTGTTTCTGCAGAACCAGCTTGTCTGGAAAATTGCTGTATGCAAATGTGGAGAGCTGGCTTTGTGGGCGCACAGGGCTGATCTTGGCACGGCCTGCATGGAGGAGATCAGGCCAGAGAGCAAAAGGCAAAAGCAGAGTGGTGCTGGAGTCTCCTCAGGTGGATGGGAAGCGGGAGGGAAATGTGCATGGGGTGACTTCAAGTTAAAAAAAAGGAACTCATGCGTCTTCCCTCTTGTTCCCGTTTGTTTCCATTTAGTACTTTAAAAACCAAGGAGCTTTCGCCTGTGTCTGGGCAGCAGAAAGGCAGCCCAGGCTCCAGTAGCATGGCGCCCTGTGGGAGCACCCAGCAAGCAGCTGGTCCCACTCAGCAGCTGTCCACGGAGCAGAGCCCACACACGCTGCGAAAAGGTACTCGCTGCCTCTGGAGGGCAGACTAATGCAATCAAGGGAAGGAGATGAGTCTGACAACAGAGCAAGCTTTGTGCGGGCTTGCCCATTGACCCACTCATCGTGCGGGCACGTTCCTCCTGTTATCTAGTACTCTGCCTAGAGGTGCTCCCTGCTTTCTGGGTGCAGAATCTCAGTGGGGACTACTAAAAAGGCTTTCTCCCTTGGGTGCCCTGCCCAAGGCAGCTTAAAGGAGTCTGATTTTCACCTGAATGGGTTAAAAAAAAATCTCCATTTTCTAAATATCAAGTCTTTTTAAACCATCTCAAATTGGGCACCAGTCAAGGAGCCTGTTTTTTACTGGAGTGAGTTAAAAAAACCCAAACCCTCCATTTTCTAAATATTAGGTCCTTTCAAACCATCTCAAATTGGGCACCCAATGATTTAAGTGCTGCAAGTCACCAGGCATTCCTGACTGCCTTCACCTTTGCACTTCACAGGATTTTAAAAGTGTACTAAGCAAGTAATAGATTGTGTGAAACGAGAAATATTCACAAGCTGCTTCAAGCTGGTCCTCAGCTGGTGTAGATCAGTGTTGAAGACAACAGGGCCACACTGCTACCTGACAGCGGAGATCTGGCCCAGATTGAAAAACAATAATATTATAATGGCGCTGGATCTCCTTTTGATAGTCTTGCTAAATTCCCTGCTACAGGGATCTCTCATTTCAGGCTTAATTTCAAGGAACCTCCTCACTGATTAGCACTAGGTAAAAAAAATTTAATAAGACTTTTTTCACATGGAAAAAGTGGATTTTCCATAGTACAATTTAACACACATCAGTTGATCTTTCAGAATTTTTAATTGTGGGGGAAAAATAAAATTCTGAAAAATGTGGAAAGAAAAGTTTCAACATTTTTTTAAAAGAACATTTACATTTTTGTAGGCCTCGATCTCATTTCAAAATTTCCTTTAATTTGTTTTAACTTGAAATCAAAATGAAACATTCAGATCAACTAAAATGAAGATTTCCCCCCCAAATTTTCAGTTCAGTCAAAATTATTGTTCTCATTCCAAACCAGTTTTCTTTTTCTAAAAAGTTCAAATATCCAGTAAACCAAACAATCTTTTTGGTCCAATAACCCCAAAGGTCTGTGGAAAAACACAGGCATTCTGGTCTCACCTGACCTGTGTTCATATTTGGAAGCTTGCCTGGAGCTCAACAGGTCATGCAAGGAGATGCTGAGAAGTTGGGAATATTTCCCGTTTACCCAAAAGTGAGAATTACTGGACCTTGCACCAGGAAGATGATTCTCATCAAATTCCCAACTTAATTGGAGAACACATATTAGGATAGCTGTGATACGGCTCAAAGACATATCTGAATATTGTGTTTTTATGCAAACCATCCCTATAAATCTTTGGAAACTGACTATCAGCCCATATGGAATTTTTTCTAATGGCTAAGGGACAGCTTTGTACAGGTATTTAGGTGTCTAAAGGTGCAGATAGGCACCTAGTGGAATTTGCAAAAGACTTGGAGCATGCTAGCACTGCAATGGGGAAGTGTGATTGCAGTGCTTGTAGGCACATCTGAACTGGCTTTAACCTCATTAGCACAGTGAAGATAGCAGTGAAACTGTGGTGATGTGGGCAGCTGGTGCTGAGTACATACATATGGCCACAGATGGGTTTGTGCAGCCGTCATTGAAATCTGTGCTGCTGTACCTTCACTGGCTTTTTGTGCCAGTGATAGCAAGATTAAAGCTAGTTCAGGGGCGCTGACGCATGCTGCAGTCACAGCTCTGGATTCTAGGACAAGGATTTTAGTCTTGGCTTCCCAGGCATGTGATAATTGAAAGGAGGTATGTGCAGCTAACAGATTAGTATCAGTGTTGGAGAACTGTAGCTGAGCTGATTGGAGACGGGCATTGTAACATAAGACAAGTATAAAAAGGGCTGAGAAGCCTAATGAAGCCTCTGAGACTCAGCTTTGCTCACTGCCACCTTTTGTCTCTCTGTCTCCCACAGTTTCAAAGAAGTTGGCACCAATCCCACCCAAGGTTCCCTACGGCCAGTCAGGCGGTATGTCCGACCAGTCCACGGGACAGCCATCCCCCGTCAGCCTGTCTCCCACCCCACCGAGCACCCCTTCACCCTATGGACTGAATTACCCACAAGGCTACTCTCTGGCCTTAGGCCAACTGTCCCCAGCTGCTGCGCCTTCCCTGTCTTCTCCTCCTTCCCTGACGAGCACTTTAACCAAATCTCGACCTACCCCTAAGCCAAGGCAGAGGCCCACGCTGCCACCTCCACAGCCTCCCACAGCAAACCTCTCCGGCTCTAGTCCTCAGTCTATGGAGCACTCCATGCTTGATGGCATGTCCCCCGGGGAAAGCATGTCCACAGGTAACTGAGCCATTAACTCAGTAGAATTGTAATGAGATTGATAAGCAGGAGATGAGGAAGAATAAGGCAAATTCGCTGAACTAGAGTTAATTTCCAGGTGGATGGTTTGTGAGTCTGTTATCAGAGTTCAGTATCATGGACTGGGAGGAAGACATGGGGATGCCAGAGTGCATGATACAGTAGGCTGTAGAAAAGAAGTTGCAACCAAAGTTGGTGTCAGCAGGCCAGTAGAAACCTCCCCCAGGCGGCCCTGCTTCAGGGCTGGGTTACAAGACCTTCAAGATTTTATTCCCCAAGTCAATCTCTCTGTGTCCCTCCATTACCATGTGCCTCCTTAGAAGGATGATTGTCGACAGGAAAAAAAATGAGCCTAAAACCTGTACTAGCAATATGAGTGTGCATTAAAATACAGCTCTTACCTACGACATGATGTGTCTAGGACCACCTCAAAACTTGAGCTTCACCGGTGATCCCCCAGCACAGCCTGGGCTCTTGGTCCTCAGCCCTTGGATGGCAGCAGGTGGGATGCTGGCTAGCTTTAAAAAGTACAGTCCTATTTGGCCTACAAAACTAGTTTGGATATTTTCTTCACTGGTACAAGGGAGCCAGTAGCATAGATTTTAAAGCCTCAAGTGCCTTTGTTGTATCCTGCCTAGGAGAATGTCACCCAAGTTTGCAAAAAGCCATGAGGTTTCCCCTAAGATCTTCAGACAAGTGCAAATGTGATACAGGAGCATAACCTACGGGGAAGACAAACTGGCCTGGGAATCCTAGGGGGTTGATTTTTATCAAGGTTTATCTTTTAAATTTTATCCCTTTAGCCAGTCTGAGGTACACCTTGTGACCAACAAGGTCTTGAAACTCATGCCACGTACAACTGAAAGCTGGAAATCCTGACTTTCCATTGGTGTGTAGCAGGTTTTTCTATCCTTTCCAGTTTATGAAATATCTGGTATTATTTTGGTTTTATTCTTTCATGTCCGCTTCATTTGTAGAATGCCACTGGTTCCCCAGCCAGTAGAGTCATAGTGTAATAGGGTTGTGTTCAAAGGACTCACCAGGTAAAAACGGTGTAAGCATCCGCTAGCTCTCCAGGAGTGTAGAGCGAAGGACAGTAGCTACCAAATTCTTTCCATGCAGGTTTCTGGAGAAAGACTCTTTGTATTGTAATGTATACTATGTTCTTTTTATGACTTGACTGCCACAATTCTCTGAACAGTGTTTCTGTTGTGTTCTTGACTCCTTGTTGCTGTTTTTTTTTTCTTTCTCCCAATCCTATTATTGTGTCCTTGCAGCTGTTTGAGGCGAGTGATGCAATATTGGATAGGTGTGAGGGGGATTTTCAGGGTAAGCTGGAGTTCCCGTACAAACCTCCCCTCTCTGGCACTTTAAAAGCTAACCCCCGGACTGACCTCCAGCTGCTGTCTGTTGAGTCAGATTCACCACTAACTCCATCTCTCTGGCCTTTGCATGGGACTCGCTGAACCAGATTTGCATGGCTTCTTGACACTGTGATGGTATCACAAGTTCACCAATAATTACATTATTAGTAAACTTGTTTCTTTTGCTTTTTGGACCTGCTGGCCTTTATTTCCGTCCCCTTTTTACATAGAAACAAATAAAAATAATCCCCCTCCAACCCATGGAAGTGACCAACCCCTAACCTTCCCCTTCCCTCCCCACTATGGCTTAGAACTTACCTGTATGAATAATTTCTCCCTCTTCCATTTCATATATTGTTTTCAGAAGGGATGTCATGATATTGCTGCTCTTAATTGTGTTGATTTGCTGTTGATGTTGATGATGTATTTCCAAGGAGTCTTTAGAAAGCACTTTATTTACTGTGGTCACTTTTAGTGTGTATTCTGGAAGTGTCCATTGCTAAAGAAATGAATAGCATCATACAAATATGCTACAACTTTGAGAGTCTTGTGTCAGAGGTGATAAATGAAGCTTCTATGCCAGCTGCACAATATGGGATTGTTGGGTTGAGCAGCCAAGGTGTGTATACACTGTGCAGCACTAGCACTAGCACTGCACTGGGTTTTCAGTGACATGCACAGCACCAGCATTTTACAGGCCTCTCCAGTGGTTCACATTTTGAGTTGGATGGCATCAGAATTGAGAAAATGTGTGTCCTTAGATATGTACCCTGAGGTATGTCTAGATGAGTTTTACCCCTTTTTCAGCATGAATTAACTGATTTGCCAGTTAATTCCAGTGACCTAAGGCATTTGTAAACACTAGTACAGTCTTTCCTGAAATGCGTATTTCAGGGCAGGTTTATTTGTGACTTTCGTATAGGCCAACCTGTGGAAAAGTACAGATATCTGAAGAGGATCTAGACCAGTGGTTCTCAACCTTTGTAGCCTTAAGGCATACCTCTATTACTTTTCTGGATTTAGTGGCATCCTGGTTGAGAATCACCAAGCTACAATTTAGCTGGTGCGAAGTGAAGGCCTAGCTACCATGTCCTGCTGTTTCTACCGTCTTCACCCTCCTCACCCTTGTCTGTACCTGGGGGGACAAGCACAGCACCTGCTGCTGAGGCTGCTCTTCCAGGGTCTCGCACACTGGTGACCAGAGCCACCTGTACTTGTGGCTCCATCTGCCAGCCCTAGGAGCATGGTAAGGATAGAGGGAGGAAGACAAGCTGAGCTGAAAAGCGTGTCTCTGCAGCCCACGTCTGCCTGTTCACCCACCAGTCCATGGCAGCGTGCACTGCTTGGAGCATGGGGTTGGCCAGCACAGGGACTGCCATAGGGCATAGGGGGTTCCCTGAAGAGCAGCCATGGACATCACTTATTTGTGGGATGCTGGGGCAGGCACAGGGCACTGAATGTGGGAGGAAAACACTTTTCACAGGGGCCAGGTGCCTTGGCACCCTTAAAAGGATCTTGTGGTGCCCTCATTGAGGATCACTGATCCAGAGCAAAATATACCATAGTAATTTATTTTGAAATGGGAGAAAAAATCTCTAGTCTAGCTATATTTGGCATTGCCACATCATAATGTTTAGCTATGGCAGCATAGAAGAGGATGCTACAGTCTTCCTCATATTTTTAGGAGAAGCTCCTGCTTTTCAGAGCAGAATTGTAGTCTCCAGTGGAAAAAGTCCCACTAACCCATTTACTAGTTATCTCCTTTCAAATATAGCTACAACCCCAAAACAGCTGTTAAAAAACCCTCCTAAAGCCATAGATGATAATATCATGCATAGTACTGAGGGAGAAACAGTAACTCAGTCTCCCCATTTGCCAACACATTTATCCAGTTCACACAACATAACATAAACTCCATTATGGTGCCTTTATGACTCAAAAGGAATAAACCATGCCTCTAAAAGCACAGGGCCACTATGCTGTTCAAATTGTTTAGAATGGCCTGATAGTCCTGTTGGGAAGAGTTGCTCAGGCAAATTTTTCCATGGTGCAAGTCAGCAGGGTTAAGGAAGCCTTAAGGAAGCGATCCTTCGGGCACAGAGGGAAATGATCCCAGTGCGGGGGGAAAGGGGCCAAGAGGCTTCCTTGGCTGACCAGAGAAATCCAGAGCAGCCTAAGGGTAAAAAGGGGGGCACATAAGCAGTGGAAACGGAGAAATTACTGAAGAGGAGTATGCCTCCTCAGCTTGCAGTTGTAGGGAGGCAGTTAGAAAGGCCAAAGCTACCATGGAGCTGAGGACGGCATCCCAAGTTAAGGATAACAAAAAATTGTTTTTCAG